TCACAAATTAGGAGTCAAAGTTGCATTGCCCTATACTCGTTTTGATTTAAGAGTCCTTGAAGAAATTAAAAAGGGAGTTTGGACATAGACAGGATGCACAAGTGCTGCGCCCATCGGAAGCCTTTGGAGGAATTTTGGCTCGAGACGCAATTTCCAAAAGCTATTGACGCAGCGCTCAAGCAGCAGTGATATCTATCTTATGATCACTTTCATGATTCTGATGTGATTCTTGATTCCTGTTTCATCTAAAGCACTTGTACTGAGGTCCTATATATATTGCACAATTGGTATACTCTTCATAACATTAGAAACACATTAGATTTGTTTGAGAGTGCATCAAATCTTATAATAACAATCATTGATCTTGATTTTGATCTTGCGAATTCTCCTCTTCTGTCCGTGATTTTTTTCCATCTTGGATTTCCACGTAAAATCTTGGTATTGTTGTTTGTGAGTGATTTATTTCATCTTGTAATTATCTTGCATTATTCATAACAGAATCTTTTCCCAAAAACATGGATGGTCCCGTTATGTTCATTGTAAAATAATTTAAATGTTTCTTCTTTTTCCATACTTTTTCATCAATTGACCAAATAAAAGTTGACCAACACCAATAACAATAAGGCATATTACTAATTCATAATGCCAGTTGATGCTGAAAATTGAACATTGAGGCAGTTGGCTATGAAATGTTAGCACATGATGGCATTTTATTATTTGTTTTCAATACGATGCTGCTGCATTAAGAGAATCTTACCTAACACTTACAAGTGGTATTTACAATTTTACAAACAATAATTACTTTTGATTATACAGTTTGCATATTCAATGCATTTTCAAAACAAATAGTAGCTTGTAAAATAACCAAACGCTGGTTAATCTCAGAAATCTCATCAACCGGCTCACTGGAGGCCTACTGATCAAGTGCCTTTGAAATCCATATCAAATCCCTCTCGCATATTTTACAATTTGTGTGTGTATTCAACTTGTATAGAATTGGATAGATTAATTTGTTGGAAAATCAAGGTATTCGTTTTTTTATTTTTCATAAACAATTAAAAAAAATGTCTAAGACGAGCTGGTGATCATTTACACAGCATAAACCCAGAGGCTTATGATTCAAAAATAATAGCCATTAACCCATTTTACTGCAATAAACCTCACTTGCAAAACATGAAGCAACACAAACTCAAGTATCTAAGGCTGCTTCTTTAAAGAGGACAAGAATCGAGTGTAGAAAGATATGTTACCACAATAATGCAATTCAAAGAAAGGGCACTGAAATGTTATGCAGAAGACATCGACCTTGATGAAGATAAATTCATGCAAATGTTGATTCGTGATTGTTGTTTTATCATCGAATTTCTCTATATGTTTCAAAACAAAGAATGCAAGGATGAAGATTACCCTATTTTCCAGTATGGATATATACATTGTCAATTGTTTAATGATCTAATGCTATTTGAGAATTAGATTCCATAAATATATACAAAACCGAGTTTCATATATCAAAATAGATATTACATATATCAAACCGACAGAAACATCATTTTATTGTTTAAAATGGGAAGTGCCATTTAAATTAGTTTAAAATGTTATATTACTGTTAAACAGTGGAGACTTGTCTAATCAGCAAAATATACATACATCAACAATACCATTGACAATTTAAAGTTTGTACCCACCAATAGAAAAACGACACCCAACTACAGAAAACGACATCCGGCCTCATAAAAACAGCGTCATTCTATTTTTATATTTTACTGCTTATTTTGCTCGCCCAATTGATTTTTTTATATTTTTAAGGTAAAGTATAACCGAAAAATAACCAAAATCATTAATTTTCAACTCATAAAGTATAAATTCAATATTATCTTTAATTCTTGGTTTGTAGAAATCAATTTGCACCGTTTGATAAAAAAAAAAAATTTTTGAATTATTTCACTTTGAAAATTTAATCACTTAATGCAACGAAATATTTGGGATAATGCATTGTAAGAAGAAGAAATTAGGTTTGAATGAGTTTTGAAGAAAACTGAAAACAGAGAATGAAATTGGGGATCTCGGGTTTAGCTCAATTTTTTACTTTGATTGTAAATTGATCGATTTAGACATTTCAAGTAAAGAGTATTTAAAACTTTTAACAGATAATAATTTATATGCCCTTGTTTAGAGGAAATTAAAATTCTAAATTTTAATTTAAGTTAAAGTTAAAAATTAATTTTAACCACATATTTTATGAATTGTACAACTTTTCAACTGCACATTTCTTCAATTTCTATTGAAATCTGCTAAAATTTTGATTTTAATTCCTATCAAATAGGACATAATACAGGCTCTTTAACAAAAAAATATTGAGTATTGGCCTTTAAAACAAAAATCATAGTTGCCCGATATTCTTTAGTCTTAACTACTTCCACCACAATAACTAATTTCTGAATCTTTATATAAAAAAAATTGTTAATATATTTATTTTTTAATAAACTATTTCTCACTAGCAATTATTTTTTATGGTATTTTAAAGTATTAAAAATAGTTACTATTTTGAATGTAAGAAAAATAAGAAATTTTGAGAATGTGTAAAAAGTTAAATATTTATTATTTGAATTTTTTTAATAATATCAATTGATGACCTAAAGTCATGCCGACTTTAAATATGTCATCAAGTCTTTGATATATGATTTTAAACATTATTTAAGACAATATGGACAATTGATTTTAAATAATATAATTTGCTTGGCACGTGACCCATGTATGTTTGAAAATTGTAAATATGAGTTGGGGTTGGACATTTTGTTTATGTTTGTCTCGTCACTTGTCTTTCCCAAGCTAGGGATCCTAGGGATTTTGCTTTTGTCTTATTTATTTATTTATTTATTTTTATTTTCTCTCTGCTTAAAGCAAGTAAGACCAACTTACTTTTAACATCACCATACGATCTGATTTCATTGATTTTTCACTACTTTTTTAGTTTTACAAACGTATTTTTTAAGGCCTCTTAACTTATTGGTCAATAAAAATTATGAACTTCAACATCACGAGTTTCAATGGGGGCAAGACCACAAGGATATTACAATTCATTCAAATAAAGATATGTAGTATCACTAGTGTTTAGTATAGATCCACATGACAACATAATGATAGATTACATAAAATGAGTCTTGTATCCATACATTTTATTAGACAAATTTTGACACGAGGAAAAATTTAATAAACTAATTATCGGAGCTGATTACTCATTGATTTTTCAAATACTGCATAATATAAGATATATGGTTATGATAAAATGTAACATACTCATGCATTGGTTTTTACCCAAATTTGGTAAATAAAAGTAGTCACATGCGAAAGGGAAAAAGAATTTTAGTTTGGCAATAAAAATGAAATATTTTAATAAGGTGAAAGAATTCCTAATGCATTAGGGAAAAGAAATTTGCCATAAGAACTTTCCTCTTTACATTGAGAATAATTGTGTTTGGCAGTTGGCACCAATGTGGCATGAATTCGTACCGAAAATTACGTGCATCCAAAATTAAAAGAATTTATAGAGAGAAAATTGTTGGAGAGAAACTGGGAAAAAAAAATAACAATAATAATAATTTTTGCCCCAAAAAAAATGATGGGAGGAATAAAATGACTAATTTTTAATTATAAACTTAAAAATAATAAATATAAAAGTGCTTTGAATAAGCACTTAAATGGAATATTTTGACATTAACCATTATCCATGATGAGATGTCCTCATTAATAGAATGCTGAAGTTAAGAATTTATTAAGTAATGATCAACAAAGTGTTAAGTGCAACTAAAACAAGATGCAACAAATAAAAAATGTGATATCCTTCAAGATTCTTCAATGCAATTAAAAGAAATTTCAAGTCCGAAGATTTTCAAGTATATCAACAAGCTAAGAAAGAATATCATAATTTCTAAAAAGTTTCTATATTCTAATATTTTCTCCCTTGCAAATTATCATTGTTCCGAAATGAGGAATACATGGATGGCAAGATTAAAGCGATAATATTTTAACAATCCATGGACAACCATTTCAGTCTTTGCTGCCATTACCTTGCTTTGGCTCACCATCATACGGACTGCATTTGCTATTCTTTCATTACCGAAAGTTACCACCTAAGTCTTGTGCATTTTTGACCAATATTGCATATTTTTACATCCGTTCAGCAAATTTGTAAATAGAAATAGTAACAAGTTTCAAAAAATATGTAGATATTAACAGGGCAGACCTAGAATTTTATAATTGTGAGGGCAAAATTAAAAACCATTATGGGATTTTCTAGAAATCATGTACAAAATCTTGAAATATGTAGGATTTATAAATTAATGCAAGGGTAGGTGAACCCGCTGCCCCCATTGTAGCTCCGTCCATGGATATTATTGATTAGTAATTATTAATATGTTGTTAAAATTAATGTTTGACTTTAACTTTGAATTTATAAATTGTATTGAAATGAAGGCTTAGTGTAGGACTCATCAAGCAAGAAATTAGGAATTGAACTTGGATTGATTCGTTAAAAAGGAAGCTTCTAATGCATTACTGATACATCTGCTGTGATACAATCATGTAAATTACTGAGAAAAATTTATGTTTTGATTATTCAGTTGTTTAACTAAGTACATGTTATTGCAGGCAATGATTTCAAAAAGGTAAGTGATTCCAAGTGTTTAAAGCTGGTAACAATGTAAGAGAATCTTACCTAATACTTCGAAGTGGTATTTACAATCCTTTACAATTTTACAGACAATAATTACTTTTGATTATACAGTTTGCATATTTCAATGCAATTTTGAGACAATTAGCGTGCATCCATGTATTTGCATATTTCAATGCAATTTCGAGACAATTAGCGTGCATCCATGTAAGTGTTCGGTAATAACAAACGGAACCATGTGAGTGTTAGGTAAAAACAAATGGAATGAATGCAAATAGGCTGGGCAATACTTATATGGTCAACTGGTCGATCCGTTTACCAATAAAACTGTCATTATCCTCCCTCCATATGCACTTATCTTTCTTGCTTCCATCGCAGAGAGGCCTACTAATCAAGTGCCTTCGGAGTCCATATCAAATCCTTCTACAGCTTCAAACCCCTCAATTTATCAATTTTCCACAAACAGTTAAAAATGGCTGATACTGTCACCGTTGACATTGATGAGATGCTTAATAACCCGCCTTCTACACCTTCAAAACCCATAATGTTTAGAGTTGGTGATCATTTACGCAGCATAAACCCAGAGGCTTATGATCCAGAAATAATAGCCATTGGCCCATTTCACCACGATAAACCTCACTTGCAGAGCATGGAGCAACACAAACTCAGGTATCTAAGGCTGCTTCTTCAAAGAAGAGAAGAGCCGAGTGTGGAAAGATATGTTACCGAAATAAGACCATTTGAAGACAGGGCCCGGAAATGTTATGCTGAAGCAATCTGCCCTAATAGAGCTGACTTTGTGAAAATGTTGATTCTTGATGGTTGTTTTATCATCGAATTTCTCCGTAAGTTTCAACACCCAGAATATAGAGATGAAAATGACCGCATTTTCCAGTATGTGCATGTAGTGGGCCATTTGCTTCATGATCTAATGGTATCAGAGAATCAGATCCCATTTTTCATCATTGATCAATTGTTCAACATGATCAAGATCAATGATGAAGACAACGTCGAATCTCTAATATCGCCTTTACTAGGAAATAGCATTTTACCGGCGCAAGATCTTCCTGAAGTCCCTGTTAATGGTCACCATCTTCTTGGCATTGTACATGACATCCAGTGTTCTTCATTTGCAAGGATATTCCGTAATGTGGAATCTGGAGATCCACATAACATGGCGAATATAAATTCAGCTGTAGAGCTCAAAGAGGCTGGGATTTCGTTCAAAAAGTCTGAAGGTAATAGTTTTTTTCATATTGAATTCAAAAATAAAGATGATCATTCCAGAATGGAAATTTTCTGATTCAACAGAATCATTGTTCCGAAATCTGATTGCCTATGAGCACTACCTCACAGGCAGTCCTCAAAAATATGTGACGGACTATGTATTCCTTTTGCATTGTCTCGTCCATTCCCCTGAGGATGCAAAATTGTTGCGCCGTTGTGGAATCATTAGCAACTTTTCGGGGAGCGATGAAGTGGTTTATCATGTAATCAACCAGCTAGGCAAGAATATCATAATTTCTAATAATTTTTCGTATTCCAATATTTTCTGCAAAGTGAAACGTTATTGTGACCGCCCATGGAATTTACGGATGGCAACATTAAGGCGAGATTATTTCAGCAGTCCATGGGCACTCATTTCAGTCCTTGCTGCCACTATCTTGCTTGTGCTTGCCATCACACAGACTACATTTGCTATTCTCTCATTCCGTAAGTTACTCCTTAAACGCTTGTATTTTTTATTGCATATTTTAGCCTCCATTTGGCAAAGGTATAACTGGGTCATAAATAAAAATAGCAACGGTTCTATGAAATGTGGTGGATAATAATAAATAGTAATAAAGAATTTTATTCAAATTAATGATTGACTTGACTGATTTTATAAACATTTATAAATTTATACTTTAATTTATAAATTAATGTATGGAAAGACTCGTCAAGTAAGCTGATAGGAACTGGTCTTGGAATGTTTCGTTAAAAATGAAGCTTCTACCTTCCTTCGAAATGCATTACTCATCCATCGGAATTGATAAAAGGAAACTAATCGATATGTGGGTAATAACGTGTAGTAATTATGAATGTTTGGTTAAAACTAATATCTAACTTTGATTTTGAAATTTGTAAACCAAATTATAAATTGTATTCAAATAGAGGCTTAGTGTACAAAGACTCATCAAGTAAGTTACTAGGAATTGACCTTGGGTTGTTTCGTTAAAAAGGAAGCTTCTACCTTTCTTTGAAATGCCTTACTGATACATTGCTGGGGACAGTCAAATGAACTACTAAGAGAAATTTATAGTTGATTATTCAGTTGTTTAACTGTGTAAATATTATTGCAGGCAACGATCTCAAGGGGAACTGATTCTAAATGTTTGAAACTCGCAACAATGTATGGTAACTCAAATTACTATTAAATTTAAGGATGATATAGAGCTCATTATATCCTGAATCATAATAGAGTTTGAATTTATATGATTGTCTGTACGATGAATGAATGTTACAAAATACTGATTCAGCCCTATCCTACTGAGTTCTAGTGTAAGCAGCAGTACTAGACAATGTTTCTCTTTAGTTATCCTAAGCAGATCTTGAATGTTTTTCTTTATTCTTGCATTGCTCTTAGTTTAATATATGTTTTCTTGGAAAGGTTCATACGCAACAATGTTCACTGAGCTATTGAGCTTTAGAAACGATAGTCTTGTACAGGATTAAGCATTTGTTCTTGTTAAATCACAAAAAAATGAGTTGGCATTCTATATTGTTTTATAAGATCCCATCCCACTTCATTGCATAAAGATAGATTAAAATTCAAAATGATTCTGTTGGTTTTTGATACCCAATAAATCCTGGACGATGATATTAAACAATATCAAATCATATTCCATAGGCCTCGATTGATGGGTGAAATATTTATCAATCGATCGATTCATATCCTTGACCTGAAAATAACGTGGGCCACTAATAGCAACTTAATTGTGTTTATGTTGTTTTGGTCTAAATTCACTTATAGGATGACTTTCTTGTATTTTGGTCCATTATCTTGTGCCTTGGCCCAATTGTTAGTGTAACCTAAGTCTATATATCCATTCTCATTGTGTAGTATCCATGTGTTTTGCCCTTATTTAGAAGAAAGAACCAAGGCTGCCCTCTTGTCATCTCCTTCGAGCTCTTGCCTTCTTTTGTCTTTTATTTGTCTTTGTGGCTTGCAAATCACCATCATATCCTTGTCAACCCTTTGTGGGTGAGAAAGAAAGAAAGCAACCATAAGTGAATAAAGTTGTGGGTTGGAGTTTTGGTTGATTGATTGATATTGATTGGTAAGTTGAAACTAAGCCCAGGATGCATCCATTGAAGATCAATTCCGCTATAGTTTCGAACAAAAGAAAACCTTGACTTCTTGACATTAAGAAAACAAAGTGCTCTGCTATCTTGCTGTTGGAAGAAAACGGGTTACCCATGTGGGTTGACCCGACCCGATTTGCATGGAAGTGAATTTTGGAGGAAGGGGTTAAAAGTTGAATTTGAAAGTTAACCTCCCCACCACCCATAACTCCCATCATCATCAACTTCCATTCTTTATTCTTCTTCAGAAAAGCAAAACAAAAGAAAATTCGGGTTAAGAGAGTGGAAGAAAAATACATGAAGAAAAGACTTGTTTTTTGGAAGATAACATCTCAAATTGAGTTCTTAGATTGTGAACAACAAACTTCTTTCTTGGTGATCGAGTTTTGACCAAGAAGCGGGTACAAAGCGGTGTTGGAGGCAAGCAATCAATAGGCAAGTAATTCAACCTCGTTTTTGGGATTTTCAAGTAAATTTCACAACTTAAATTCAGTTAAAAGCATGAAAGCATGTTTTACACTTGCAATGTCATTTTGCTTGGCTTAAATATATGCTATGATTATAATAGTGAAATCTTATTGCTCATATAATTGGATAACCAGAACAGAGATCTGTTTGTGATGGTTGTCTATTCATTGCTTTGTCGGCACATTAGTAAAAGTAATCCTAAATGAAATTCACAATTAAAATGTGAACAACAGTTTTGCATAAACCCATCCAATCCTCTTCTAGGTTGCTCTAAACAAAATCTTATACTTGTATAGTCCATTTCACTTCACAAAATCCACAACTAATTTAGGAATCGGAGTGCTTCTAGCTACCCCTCTAGTGGCCAAGCATTCTAGCTCTGGTTGAGTGTGCAGACTAGGGCTATAGATTTGGCTCATCTTGTTAGCAGAAAATCTCGTCCACATGTCAACATATTTAGGTCCCGTTTTGCATGACTTTTGCTTTTGCCTTTAATTCCAATAGAATAACTTTTAAAGGAAACTATCTTAATTTATGCCTGAAAGTTAATTTTTAAAAGCACTTTCTATTCGAAAAGTGATTTTTAAAGTAAGTCACACTAAATCAAATTCCTTTAAAAACTCTTCTAACTACTAGAAGTACTTTAATAAAATTAGCAAAACGAGTCCAAAAATAATTTTTGGACCTCAAAAGCTCTTTTTGACTTTTTCAAAAGTCATGCCATACGGGCCCTTAATACCTTAATACTATCTAATGATAATCCAGAGTCTTTTACTCGATAAACTTAAATGAAGGACTTCAAACCTACAAGGTGGCCCTTTTTTTTGTAACAAATCAACCACATAGATTAGCGGACTGCTAATTTTGCTTCAACCATAGCCTCGTGCAGTTGCTAAACTTTTTAGTAGAACTTGTTGGATGTTCTGGATCAAAATAATTTATCTGTATTAAATAAAAAAGAATAATGGAAGATATTCTTTGGGTGAAATCATTAAGTTCGATAGCATTTTTAGGTCCTACCAAAGCATTAAATATAAGGTTTGACATTGTACCTACTCACACAGGGGCGGATCCAGACCATTTGAACTGTGGGGTCAAAATTTTTTTTTTCGAACAACGTATCATGAAAAAAAAGGAAAAATCGGTGGTTTGCTGTTCATGTTCGATATGTGCACTTTGGGAAGAAATCGTTGGATTATATGATATATTTATGGACTAAATAATGGATATGAACCATGTGATATGGATATAGATTTAAAATTTGGACTTTTTGGGGTGGAAAATTAAATTTTCAGCACAAAAAAAAAAAAAAATTCCAGAAAACTGTGGGGTCATTTGACCCCACATGACCTCATGTGGGTCCGCCCCTGCCTACTCAGTGTATTAGTGAAGAGATGTTCATAAAAAAGGAGGGGACATTAAAAGCCTTACCTCCAGAAGTACACAGGGGCTTAGACGCTTAGTGTAATGTGGCTGGCTTAGACGCTTAGTGTAATGTGGCTTACTTCTCTATATATAAACAGGGGTGGAAATTGAAGAGAAAAGGAAAAAATATTTGCACAAAGAAAAATACCAAATTAGTGCCAAAATCATTAAAATGTATTTAGGAAATGTGAAAAAGATTAATTCTTAAAGGCAAACGCATGGCTGACGGAAAAAAAAGACTAATTTACTCTTAAAAAATCCTTTTTATACCAAGTTGTAAGCTATATAGATTTAGACTTATACATAAATATTAAACTATTATTAACTCCAAGATTGAAGTAAAGTAAATGAATATTTATGAGATTTAATTCATTTTGACAGAAATAATTTATTTAAATCTCACACATGATTCCATTCAGAGCAATTGAGTCATGTAATCTTCTTATCATTGCTCCAGAGTCTAGACAAAGCAACTCGATATGCCTTAAAATTATAACCTAAATAAAATGTCCAACTTTAATCTGTGAAGAAGTTATATTTGATGGTAAAATAACTTGTATTTATATCTTGTGTGAGTATCTATAAACTATTTGTAAATACATGTAATGTTTATTAACTGGACATTTATTTAAAAACACTTGTATTAATAAATATTATTAACTCACACAGCAATTGCCATAGTTCTTTAAGAAAACCAAAAATAATCAAAAGAGTTATTTTTAAGCAGCCATGGTAAATCACGTCAAACATGGAAATGATTTGTCCATAACAATCACCCAAAATACGGAGTTTTTCATCTTGGACAATCTCCTGTCCAAACAGTGGTGACATGGCGCCCCCTATTGGCCAAGTGTCTACTAGCTTAGATTCCCGATAAATAGGGGGCTCCACGTTGCTCCCTGTTTGAACACGGGATTGTCCAAGTAGCACGGCCCAAATAGGAGTCCATGTAAAATTTATTTTGTACTTGAGGACTTTTTTTCTTTTTCTTTTTTTAAACATTATAAATAGCCATACAATGTTATTTACGATGTCATGAAAATAATAGAATTGGACAAAAAAGAAGAATTAGATAATACTTTTTAGAGTTTTGCTATTTTTACCTCAGGTTCGACACTTTGGTGTACAGTTTCCTCACTAAAAGAGGGGCCCGTGATCAATAAAAATATCACCGACCCCCTCATTGTGAGGGGAGCTGTACACTAGGGTACAGATAGCAAAACCCTACTTTTTATGGCTGCAAACTCTAAAGGAATCCTTTCCTCCTCTTCTGGGCGTGTTGAGATCAAAACAAAAGTCAAAATTCACTCCATAGAAAAGTAGGGTTCGACATTCAAGTCTAGGGGATGCAGATTTGAGCTGGATGCTAGCTGATTTATATGTACATACAAACAGTTGAATTGTTTGATCTAAAAATTTAAATTGTTAGATA